AACTACTATGGCAGACGACTTCGGACTAGGTGCGTTCTACTAAGTCCCCCTGACAACAAGACCAAGTTGCAAAAACGAGGTCAACCCACTTCTATAAATCGAAAGAAGACTGCGACCATACGAGAAGTCTTCATATCTTCAGTAAGTAATATAGTTGATTGCACTAGCAAATATAACCTTGCTTCATCGACAATCCCACCTCAGCATATGATATGGGAAAATGACTGGCCTTGCTTGAAATTCACATCTGCCCTGTGATTCAAAGGCACTCGTTTCAAAGTGACGGAGTGGTTAACTTGTCCAGATTTTACGCTCCACTTACATGCTTCGAGTCCAGTTGGAGGTGCTGATGAGACCAAGGTGAGGTCGAAACTGCAGTCCACGCTGGATGAGAACAACTTTTGGAAAGCAAATTTATGTGGAATCGAATGGAAAGATATGATCTACTCATAGCATTGTGGGGAAATTCTTAAGCGAAATTGGATGAATACACCTCATATATATGTTCAGCGGATAATTGGTCAAGTTGTTGGATTTCACTTGCTTATTCAACGAGGCTTATTGTGACATTAAGACTGGCAAGGGTCACTAACGATGCCAAATATTATCCCGGCAAAACGTCTGAGAATGCATCAAGTCCACGTTACGACACTTAAAATAATCATGGATACTATGGCAAAGAACTACTGATAAGGTGTGCTCATCTAGGTCTTTCTGGAAATAAGGCCAATTTTCGAAAACGAGGTCAAACCACTTCTACATGACTGAAGACCGAGACCATAGTAAAGGCCATAATATCTTGGTTTTCGTACCTTCGATTAAGTGAAGCAGAGTGATTTGCTGTTAAATACTTGGAGTAAATAAACAACAGAAATCAGTCATTTCAGACTTAGAAATGATTGGGGAGCATTAGCTTACTATATGAAATTAAAATAAAAAAATATTAACATACAAATGATTCGCCGAAACCAATTTGTACACGTTGTTGGAAGATGCGAAAACAGCACGCTTAGATTACTTCCAACAACATATGAACAAAAACAAGTGATGCGCGATACATCAGAAGCGAGATGTGGATGATTGCATGAGTACCAAAAGATTAGTGATTTCCGAGCCCTTGTGGAGAATACTTTACAAATAATGGAATCCATAAGAAACATAGAAACGTAAATCATGGGCGTATGTAAGATATAGGAAATATTATAAAGCATACTTCACCATTATACAATCATTGATAAAATACAAAAAGTAGCTAAAGGATAGCTAAAAAGCTAAACTAAAAAGAAACTTAATGCTGGAAGCAATTAGTAATCAACAATAAAAAGGGTGTAGAAGCGAACAAATATTTACCGGTTTTATATCGTTCTCCAGCACATAAATGAAATCCGAATACTTGACCATCAACTTTTCATAAGCATCTGGGTCCAGTTGCTTATTTTCGTTAGGCTGTCAAAAGCAATAAAAAACCGTAAAAAACGCTGAAAAGAATTTTTTTATCATTCTGAAGTAATGTGCTAGAAAATGTGTCAAAATACTTGAAAATAATATACATAATAGTACTTAACATCGAAAGAGTTTCAGATGTAAACTTGCGATCGAACATCTTGGGAATTAACAGCTACTAAAGTTAAATGTGTACA